TGTATAGCTCCAAGCCCATGGGTACACAGGTGGCCCTGACCTGGACCAGCATAGTTGGAAGTCTTAAAGAGCAGACTTCCACTGAGTTGACAGCTGCCGAAAAGGATTTAATCAGTTCTAACACCCTGTTCCCCCGCCACTGTGCACAGAGGTAACACACCTCAAAACAACCTCTTCCTGGGCATCTCCCTGGGACCTTGGGAGCAGATTCCTGCACTGTCCATCAGGCTGGTCTAAAGGGAGTAACCCTTGAACTTTCAGTCACCCTAGAAAGTGGCATCTGCTTAGAGGGAAAGGCCCAATCCCCAGGACAAAGCCCTGACCCCAGAGATGAGCTTGGTGTGACCAGCACAGGATGAAATAGGTCTCAGACAAAGGCAAAGGTGGATTTCCTTTTGGAAGATACCACACTAGTGGACTTCAGGAAGCTATGAAGTGTGGCCCATGTCATCACAGATATCATCCTCGAGCTGCACAGGAAAGGGGAAGATCATGGAGCACAAAGGGGCATTGTCCTAGTTAGGGTTTCTACTGCTGTGATGAAACACCATGACCAAAATATAAGTTGGGGAGGAACGGGTTTATTTGGCTTACACTTCCATATCACCGTTCATCATCAAAGGAAGTCAAGACAGGAACTCAAACAGGGCAGGAATTTAGAGGCAGGAGCTGATGCAGAAGCCATGGAGGAGTGCTGCTCACTGGCTTGTTCCCAATGGCTTGCTTAGCCTGCTTTCTTATAGAACCCAGGACCACCAGCTCAGGGATGGCACCACCCACAATGGGCTGGGCCTTCCCCCATCAACCACTAAGAAAATGCTCTACAGCCTAATTTTATGGAGGCAATTTCTCAATTGAGGCTCCCTCCTTTCAGATAACTCTAGCTTGTGTCAAGTTGACATGAAACTAGCCAGCACAAGCATCTTTGACTGGTTAGCCTGACTGAGACCCTCCTCCCCGAGCCTTCACAGGGAAGCAGAGGTACACAGTGACAGGCAAGGAGTCAGGCATGATGGGACAATGCTGTTTTTCCCCAAATGTCAAAAAGGAGACTGAAGTCCATGCCATTTGGGTTCCAAACCAAACAAAGCTGACCCCCACTCTCCCCTTTGGACGGGTCCCGAGGTGGCTTCCAGAAAGGAGAGGGCGGCTCTGTCTGACCTTGCCCCCAGAAACCACAGCTCATTCCTGAACGAGCGTTCTTTTCTCTCCCCCACATTCCCATTCCTCCCTGGAGCAGCATCCCAAAAAGGATGCTATGGAATCCAGCCTCCACCACAGGCCAACGCCCTTCCCACATCTCCAGGCTTTCTCCATCCTGGCCTGCTTACAATCCTAAGGCGCTGCCTCTGTAGTCAGTCAGCTGTTGCTCCTGCAGAGAATGCCAAAAGGCAGCTTACGTGGGTGGGACTGAAGGGCCTGGAAACTCTCTAGTCACTCGGAGCTCAGTTGTCCCAAAGACACCCAAACCTTCACCTCAGCCTTCAGTGGGGTCCTGGCCTACGTGGAGATCACAAGAGCTGTGCCAGCAGGACAGGGAACGCACGCTCAGGCTTCAGCAGCCGACCCACTGAGGAGTAGGGGGTTGGGCAAGAGAAACCAGACAAGGCTATTTCAAGGAAAGAAGCCAGTGTGAATAAGGTGAGGACCCAAGACAGGTGGCAGGTGCTGGGGGAGGGACTGAGGAGGGTCCCAGCCCTGAGTCTTCTCAGAGCTGAGGAGCAGAAACTAAGCATCCGTAGGAAAAAGCAGAGTTTAGACCTAAACTCTCCAGAGAGCAGAATCGGCCATAGCAGGATACAAGATGGCTGCAAATAATACGTGCGAAGAAAAGAAGGGCGGACTTCTGAAAAGAAGCAAACAAGAGCTTCTACACAGGACGGGTACACGGGCCTGAAAAACGTACCATGGGGAACCCAAAGCACAGAGCTGATTTTGGAAATAATTAACGCCATGTGGAAACAAACCATACGTTGGACACCACCACCTCTTCTTCCTGACAGGCCAGCGCTCCCCTCTCAAGCAGGACGTCACTGAAAAATGACACTGACCAGAAGAGAGGTTCCATAAACTTACCCAGCCACCTGTGTACCACAGCTCCTGCACACACACCTTCATTCCTGGGCCGGCAACAAGCTGGAGTTCTTCTCCTGGTATGGAACTAGCTCTTCCCCCCCAGAAGGGTGCTGTCTCAGCCTCTCTCTCTCTTTTATCCTGCCCAGCCCGCTTTCTCTCTTCCCTGCAAAGTTTCCTTCACAATGTGTCTTAACCTTGGAGTTCTGTGAATTCAATGTTTGGAGCTGATTCTTGTCTTTTGGCCCCAAGTCGGCTAAAATTCTTATACTAACCAATTTCCTGACTTCTTGTTTATCTATAGATTCATAAGGTCAGTTTATCTAGGTATAAAATGACACCCCTGTGCATTTTCCAAGTATGTACCTGTCTCCTCAGACTAGAAAGAATATGCAAGCTGTATTTCAAATGTGGAAAGGAAATTGAGGGAATGGATCTATTTTAGTAAATTTAGTAAGAAAGAAAGTGGTGTTGACCACCATAAGCATCCCCTCTGCGTGATGGCTAGCCTTAGTTCTCAACTTGACAATTAATCCAGAATTACTTGCAGAGATGGGCTGCTAAGGGATTATTTTGATTGGGTTAATTAATGTGGGAAGATTTATTTTGACTGTGAGTGAAACCATTCTCTAGACAGGAGATCCTGAGCTATCTGAGGTAGAGAAGTGGAGCTGAGCAAGCATCTTTATCTGCTTCTAGACTGTGGATTCAAGGAGACTAGCTGCTTCATGCTCCTGTTGCTTTGACTTCCGCCATAAGGCACTATATTGTAACCTGTGGGCTGGTTAGGGTTGTTTTTTTTTGTTTGTTTGTTTTGTTTTTGGTTTCTTTTTTTTTTTTTCTTTTTTCTTTTTTATCAGCCCGACACAAGCTAGGGCCATCCAGGAAGAAGGAATTTCAACTGAGAAAATGCCTCCATTAGACTGACTTATAGGCAAATCTGTGAGGCATTTTCTTGATTAGCGACTGATGTGGAGGGTCCATCCCACTCTGAGCAGGTAGTCTTGGGTTGTATAAGAAAGCAAGCTGAGCAAGCCATTGAAGAACAAGCAAGAAAGCAGCACTCCTCCATGGTTCCTGACTGTTCTTGCTTGAGTTCCTGCCCTGACTCAAGCAGGACTGTAATCAGGATGGGTAAGCCAAAGAAACCCTTTTCTCCAAGCTGTTTTTGGTCATGGTTGCTATCACAGCAACAGAAATCAAACCCAGAAAAACTAAACTGTGAGCCACAATAAACCTATTCTTAAGTTGCTTTTGTCAGAGTGTTTTATCGCAGCAACAAGAAATGAATCTAAGACCTCTGGGGAGCCTGTGAACAGGATGCCATCTTTGAGTAGTTATCTTGGAGTTATGAGGACAGATACGATATAGAAAGCAGATATACCTGCTTCATGCACAAGGGAGTTGCAAAGCTGTGGGGCAACATGAGACTGAAGAGTCAAGATGCTGGGTGTGGGTTACAGCCTCTGTATTAGTGGGGTGGGCATCTTGCCACAGAATCCCAACTATTCAACAAAGCTGGAAACATCTGCCTCAGAGGGTGATGGGAGAATTTCATAGCATGAAGCTTAGACATGCATTGAGCAAGGTCCCTGGAATCCAGAAACTGAAAACCCCAGTGGGTTCCATGTTCCTCTTTCTGAACTCTGTGGTTAGAAGAAGCTCTTGTGAATTCCTTCCCTGGAATCAGGGCTTCAGATGGCCACATGAGACACAGCAACCCTCCCAAGGCTGCTCTGACACCAGGCAAGTTTCATGCACCAACATTAAAATGACTTCGTTGGGTTCCTAAAAAGTACTACTTTTTCAGGGCCGGAGAGACAAGATGGTGCAGAAGTTAAAAGTGCTTGTTGCTCTTCCAGAGGACCCAAGTTTAGTTTCGAACATCCACATCCAGAAGCTCACAACCACCTTTAACTATAGCTTCAGGAGTTCTAATACCCTCTTCCAGCCTCCTTGGGCATGGCACATACATGATGTATACTCACACTGAGATACACATAAATAATAATAAATCTTTGAAAAACGACTCTACTTCCACCAAGTAATGTTCATGTGGTTGTCTGACATTACTCACACCATACCCTCAAATTACATCACAGTTACTTTTCTATCTCATTTTCCATTTTCCAATTCCATTTTCTATATCTCCCCCTTTTCTACTTTTACAATAAATTTTATTTTATTTTACAATTTGATTCATCTGGATTCTTATAAGCAGATGTTATGGTTAAATATGTTCTCCAAATGACTAGGAACTCAATCCTCAAGTGCACCTGATGAAGGCATTGGAAGCAGAGCCTTTGATTAGGGTTAGATATTATACTAGGGTGATTAGGGCTCGATCAAGCCATCGGAGTGGGGCTCCCATGATGAGATTGATGGTTTAATTAAGAGAGAACAACAGGCTTGAGCTGGCACAACTTGCTCCATCTCACCATGTGACTCTCTCTGCCACATCATAATAGAAAGTAGGGCCTGTGCCAGATTCTAGTGCCATCCATGTTCCTCTCTATTTCTCAGCCTCCAGATCTACAAGACAAATAAACTTCTATTATTTATAAATTATCCAGTCTCAGATATTTTGTTACAACAACAGAAAGCTGACTAAAATAATAGGTCTAGGGTTTTTTGTTTGTTTGTTTGTTTGTTTTACCATTTAAAATACCCCTTGTGATGGTTAATCTTGACTGCTAACTTGATGATCTATACAATTATCTAGAAGACAAATTTCTGGGAGTATTTGGGGTGCATTTTCAGAGAGGTGTAACTGAGAAGTGAAGAATCACCCTGAATTTGGGTAACACAATCCTATGCACTGGGATCCACTTTTGAATGAAAGGGAGAGAGCCAACAGAAGACCCACATCTGCCCCACTCTGCTTCCCGACTATGGACACTGTGTGACCAGCTGCCTCGTGTTCTCACCACCACAGATCCTGTTGGCTCTTGCTGCCTGTCTTACCACAGTGGGCTGCACCTTCAAACTGTGAGACAAAAGAAATGCTCTTCCTTGAGTTTCTGTTGCTAGACTGTTGTCATAGCAACAAGAGAAATAGCTGATGCAGAAAACTGGTACCAAAGAGTGGGACTGTTGCTGTGACTAACCTGACTATGTGCTTATAAATCTTTGGAACTGGTCTATGTAAGGGCCATGGAAGAATTTGGAGCCCTAGAATATGGTAACCAGAATTCGATGGGAGGCCTAGCTCATGCGGTGCTGGAGGAGAACAAGAACTCTATCAGAACCCGGACTAGAGACCGTCTGTGTCACATCCTGGCACAGAATGTGACTGCATTGCCTGTGTCCTGAGAACTCAAGTGAGTCTGAATTCAAAAGACTTGTTACTTCAGTGGGAACAATTTCAGGGTGATAGAGCATTGGGGACATGGCATGGTTACTATTGACTGCTCATGTTTGGATCTACAGTGAGAGACAGCAGCAAGTGAAACAGAGAGATAGGAAAATGTGCAGTTTGCCAAGGAAAAGAGTGTGAACCAGCTTAAAGTCGCAGATGGGGAGGATTCAGATAAACACCGGTGGCGCTTAAAGAGATGCTGTGGGCTTCTGCTTTGCGGGGGTGGTGAAATCCTTTGCAGAGAAGAAGCCTTTTAGCTTGATGAGATCTCATTTATCAGTTGTTGGTCTTAAGGCCTAGGCTATCAGCATCCTGTACGGAAAGTCCTTTTCCTGTGCCAATGAACTCAAGCCTCTCCTTGACTTTCTCTTCTGTCACGGGTGTCTGGACTCACGTTGATCAATTTGGGTTGAGTTTTGTGCAGAGTGACAGATACGTACTTTTCTATCCTGACACCTGCAGCTGTCCAGTTGGAGCAGCTCCATTTGTTCAATCACTGCTTCTCCTCACTGTGCATTTTTGGCTTATTGTCAAAGATCGGGTGACTGTAGGTGTATGGAATTATATCTGGGTCTTGAATTCAATTCGGTTGGTCAACATGTCTGTTTTTATGCCAACGTCATGCTATTTTTATTACTACAACTCTGCTCTGTAATACAATTAGTTTTGGCAATTTTTGTCTTCTCGATCTTTTACTTGTTTCTTTTTATTTTTGTTTTAGTGTTTTTATGGGTTTTATTTTTGTTTATTTTTTATGTTTAAAGGAGAAATAGCTCACAAAGTTGAGTGGGTAAAGAGGTGGAAAGGATCTGGGAGGAGCTGGGGGAGGGGAAAACATTATCAAAATATATCATATGAAAAAACTTAACTGAAAATATAAAGATCAAGCAAATTTTCAAAACTGAGTCATTATAAAACTATTAAAAATAACAGAAAAGAAAACTGGCAGTGGGCACAGGGGAAGGTGGGGCGAAGACGCTTCTCTATCTTGTCTGAACTGAGGATACCACCTCAGGAATCCTCTACTCCAAAATGGCCAACTTAGGAAGTATTTCCCCAGGGTCATCCTCCAAGGCAGACAGAAGTTGCTCTAACAGTGGTCCAGGGAGGCCAGACTTCTTCTCAACCTGGCAACAGAACTTGGCACTGCTGCACATGTGACACCTGGTTTTGCAGGCATGAAAGATGCAGAAGTGTGGGTCTCATGAAGGCTTGCATTGGGGTTCCAGAAAGCTACAGAGGCCAAGCAAGGTACGGTGGCATCTAATTTCCTACAAGGAGGCCTGGAGAGGTCACTGAACGATGTTGGGAAAGTGAGACCCCAGGATGGCGATGCCAGGGCTGTGAGGTGTGCACCAAGGAAAGATCCAGCCAAACAAAAGGCTGTGTGTGCTGTGAGCAGTAGAGCTGGGAGGGTGGAGCTGCCTGAGTCCCCTGGGATCTGGGCTGTGCTACCACATGTCCCATACACTGGACAGGGAACTGAAGGGCTTGGTGTTAGTCATTCTTGGTTTCAGTCTTCCTTTGACCTAATCTTTCCTTGCTTTGTCCTAATGGCTTCCTTTCTTAATGGGAATGTTTACTTTGTACCATCATACATTGGAAGCATGTAAATTGTATTTTTTTTATTTTTTATTATACAGGGGTTTGTGGTTAAAAGTTCACTGGAGTCTCAGAAGAAACTTTGAAATTAACACTTTCAAATAATATTAGAACTCTTAGGAGTTTCAAGGTGGACTAAATGCACTTTGCATTAAATGCAAAATGCACTAAATGCATTTGGGGATGAACATGAGATTTTTTAGGCAACCAGGGGTAGAATGCCATGATTTCAAACTAGTAGGTTTTCGAGTCTAGTTGACAAGGAATGGACTTGTGATCCTTGATATTGAGTTTCAATGTGATAGATAGGATTTAGAATCAGAAGACACACTTCTGGGCAAGTCTTGGCGTGGGGGGGGGTGGTTCCAGAGAGCTGGAAGTGAGGAAGACCCTGAATGTGGATGAAACTATCCCATGGGCTGGGACCCAAAATGAATGAAAAGGAAAAGAGGAGAAATGGAGCTGAGCATCAGCATCCTTCACTCTGCTTCCTGCCTGAGATTGCAATGTGACCAGCCACGTAAGATGCTTAATGCAAGTACATCACTATGTGTGCTTGATGGACTAAAGCAGGTTCAACAGGGGCCTGAGCTCTGGGGGGGGGGGCTCAAAATGAGGAGATAACTACCATTTAATAGCCTCTATGACTAACCAGAAGCCTTGCAGAAGGACAGCCCTGATGCCAGAATGAAACCCTTCCAGTGTCTTCCAGTTACCTTCTACCAGTCACATGACAGCGTACACTTGACCTTTGCCCCTGAGTTCCCTTATCTCTCTGTTTTAGTCTATGATTGTTCTATGATTGTGAAGAGGCACCATGACCAAGGCAACTCTTAGAAGATAAAGCATTTAATTGGGGGCTGGCTTATCGTTTCAGAGGTCTCGTCCATCGTCATCATGGCAGTGAGCGTGGCAGCATACACGGCATTGGAGCAGTAACTGAAAGCTACGTCCTGATCCACAGGCCAAGAGAGAGACACTGGGCCTGGAGGAGGCTTCTGAAACCTCAAAGCCCACTCCTGGTGACACACTTCTTCAACAAGGCCACACTTCCTAATGCTTTTCAAATAGTGCCATTCCCTGATGACTAAGCATTAAAATATATGAGTCTATGGGGGCCGTTCTCATTCAGAGCACCACACTGTCAAATCAGACAAGAGCAATGAGGACTCATCGGGCACTGCAAGGACCGCATGAGGCAAACCAGATAACAAACACGCAAAAAGGTACTGAAGATACCGTGGCCATCATCAGGGACACAGCCCACTGGGGTTCGCAGCACCTAGGTGCAGCCTGTAGAGGTGCAGTCCTCCCCACTACAGAGATGAGCCTTGGGGACTCAAGGCTTAGAGAAAGAAGCCAGGAGAAGGAAGACAATTGCAATAGAACTCCACTTACACAAAAATGCCCACAATAGGCAAAGCTGCTGAGAAAGAAAGTGGGTCGGCAGCTTCCAGGGGCTGGGAGGGAGTGACTATGCGATGGCTGAGTCCTTTGGGGGTAGTGAAAAGCAAAATCTGAAACTGAATAGTGATAATGGCCATGCAACATCATGAACTCACATGAAGTCATCATATAGTACAGTTTTTAACTGTTAGATGTTATTTGCATTCTGATGCCTCCCCAAAGGGTACAGTGTCTAATGTTTCCAGTGAATGCTAAGATGAGTGTCATGATAAAGCAGCTAATTCTAACTCTTCATCATAAATCAGTGAGCAGTGAGCTCCCCAGGATGCAGAGGGAGAGATGGGACTGTCTTCCACACATATCATCGAGCTGTGGGCAGAGTCACCCACTGCTTAATAACTCAGCAGCATCAGCAAATGGCTGGAGGGCACAGCAGGGCCTCGTCTCCCGGTCGGCACTGAAGGCGGGTCGGGGGCACATGGAGACAGATACACAGGGAGTGGATCGTTGCCCTGCTTCATCCTGAGACCTTGCTCACACCCGGCCCCATGGTCTGATAGGTCACAGAGGCAAAAACACAACTTTCAAGACTGAGCAATAGGCACTTTTCCTCTCTGGGCAGGGAAACCTATTCAATAACCAGACCCAGCTTCTTCTGTTCCTCTCATCCAGGAACTTGTCATCCTCTACAGTTGGACTGGATCACTCACAACAGGCTGCCCCTTTGCCAGGGTCCTTGGTTCAAACAGCTAGAACAAGCCTATGCCCTCTGAGCCATGCAGACCTCTACCAAACTCCATGCTTCTACCCACAACTGTGGCTGCGTTAACCAGCACTCTTTGTAGGAACAGTTCCCAGACAGTAGGAGGTCATTCTGAGGTTTCACTTTTCATGTGTTTAAAAAGCAGGCTGGAGCTAGAAGGCCCAAAGCCACCATAATCTTGGTCACTGCTAGGGCACCCCTAGTCAGCACTGATAAAAATGAGATGCCTTCAGTTCTTAGTGGGGTCCTGCTGAGATGCGCTGTGCCTGGTGATTACACCCTGGCCATGGTTCTGTGCCAACACCACGCCTGGGACTTTGCCAGTCTGATTTCAGTTCGGTTCCAAGGGCATCTCAAGACTAGTTAGCTCACGGTACGTTTGAGAGGTCACTCAAGGTCAAGACCTGAAGGATGGCAAACTTTGATTCCTTCCTGGGGCCTTTGGTTGTAAAAAGACCAAAGAAGCCATAAAACAAAGATTTATTCAGCCCCAGCAGGACATCTCAATGGCGCAGCCCTGAGAGACCAGGACAAAATGAAACATCTGGCCAGAAAAGTACACTTGTTTACACACCACACACACCACACACACACACACACACACACACACACACACACACACACACAAAACCCAAAACAAAACAAAACAAAAAACTTCTCTATCTTCACCAAGTTCTTGGACAAAACTTAGGCTGAAGATTGAAAACAATGCAGAATCCTGAGGTCAAGGGCAATGCAGGCAGGAGAAGGAACATCTTGTTTTCTCCTCGCCTGGCTGCCTCAGGCAATGGGTCCCCTCCCCAGCACCCCAGAGAGCCGCCCTGCCTGCCCTGGTAGGTACCCCCCTCGGGGACCACACAGCTGTGGCACACCCTGAGCAGGTGATGCATGTAACCTCTGCT